GCCAACCCAATGGCTAACAACTTTGCAAAGTTCTACACCAACACCTACGACTGCATAGGCTACGCGAGCTTGTCTGATTATAAAAAAGTAGCATGCTTGCCACTGGTCTATCAAGTCTAAAGGTTAGGGCATGAACAAAAGAAGAAAAAATGAAGAAAAGCTAAGGAAAACATGTTTATAAACGATTAGCAAAGGCCGAAGGAGTTCAAGCAAAACAAGAGCTACAAGGAAAAACAAAGAAAATCTTAAAGGCTACCTAGATGACTACACTTTAGCAGCCTGGACATCCTACGACTATTCGGTCGCCACACCTTCAGCAGCCGCGAAGCTCTTAGCAGCGGTATCACCCTTGACTGCTCTAGCCTGGGCACCAACTTCTCCAACTACTTCACCAATACCAACATGGATGCGCTGCAACTCATCCACTTCTTTCTTCAAACTTTCGTTGATCTTCAGTACACCTTGAAGTTCCAACACTTGGGGTTCAAGCCTATCGACGATTCTCTTGAAGTGGATCACTTGATTATAAGCAGCAATCAACTTTTCATCCTTTGCATAAGCAGCGAAAAAAAGTCTTTAGTTTTTTCTCAGCCGGCATCTCTTGAGCAGGCAGGGAAGATCCCTTTTCCCACCTTCACTTGCAGCAGGATCCACAACGGTGATTGGACGAGCCAATGCATCTTCCTTGATCATATTCACCTCTTATTTTGGGAGCAGCCCACATTTTTCCTGACGAAGAGAATTAAAGTAGCCAACGCCATTCGTGGTACCCAGCATGGGAGTTCAACCCAACATTCCAATAGCTCATGAGGCCCGCAACCTCTTCATTTCTCTCAATCACCTGCCTAGCTCGCGTCATGTCCAAAAGCCCAAAAAGACGTGAGCTATGTGACTCGCCTAGCACTGCGCCACATCGCCACAATTCGTGGCCCCAGCCATACAAGCTGCCTTTAGTTCTAGCCAAGTCGAGCAGCTTAAAGCAGTGGTCCCTGCCACAATACCTCTTCGGCCCATGCCGAGCCGACTCCTGGCCCATGCTAGCCGACATGCCACATCACCCCGACGGCTGCCCCGAGGTAGCACCATCCAAGAAGAAGACAAGGAAAATTAATTTTTTCTACCTCAGTGCGGCATGAAGAAGACAAAGAAAGCAACGAAAGACGGTCCTTTGCACGGGCAAGATATAGAAAATTGCTAGAGGAGGGGGAACAAATATCCTCTAAGCTATCTCTCTCTTGTAGGGTAGAATAAATCGCTCTCCAAAGTTGATTTAATCACCCACTTAAGGTGGACTTAAATAGGCTTTGAGAGAAATTTATTTCCCTTTCCTAGAAGGATCTAATTTCCTATTAAAGAGATAATCTACATCAAAATAGGAAGCAGTCCTAAGTTTCCTAAAGCAAGAAGATCTCTACACCTGCTGCCCTTTTCTACAAGCAGCCCAACAGGTGTGGGGGCATTTGTGGAGCCAAAAATAATCACAAGGCGACACGTGGTTTTTTGGGTAAAAGAGGACAAAAATACCCTTGAGGTATAACGGGATTCCTACGCTCAAGTAGCGGGCCATCATCCTTAACCAAGTAAAAAATGCTCCAAAAAGGTAACCAATTCCAAATTATCTCATCCATCCTCATTTAAGGTAATTCCCAAAACCTAATTTATTCCATTTAGCTAATCAATTAGCTAAATAATATATTTTTTCATATTTCCTAAAATCTTCCTTTAAAATCATAATAATTGACTAATTAAGGGATTAATTCCTAATCAATTCCTTAATTGTCAATTAAAACATCCATTCAACCCCAAAAACAAGTGAAGGGCCGGCCACCTATTATTAGAAAAGGAATTGGCCATGTTTTGTTTATCTCTTGATATTTGCCCATTTCATCCCATTAATTAGCTAATTCATTTGGTAATAATTTTATTTTGCCAAATTAATTAGTCAATTAATCACATAACTCCCAAAATCATCTTAAACCTAAATTAAACCCAAAAAACCCTAGCCACCTCCTATCTCTATAAATATACTCTCATTCTCACCAAAAAGGAGATTCCAACACTTTGGCAAAAATCCCAAAATTCTCTAAACAATATTTCTCTCTAAATTCTAACTTTGGCATTGGAGGTTCTTCGGCCAAAGCCCCCCCCATTCATCGTGGGAGCGTGAGGCTCTTGGCCTTAACCTAAGGTGTTAATTGTTTTGTAGGTGCAAAATTGTCCAAGATCAAGGAGGAAGAAATTTGCATCCACAGTACTGATGAAAATATGTTCCCTTAATTCGTGTAAGATTTTAAGCAGCAGAGTCATGGTAACATTAACTCCTAAATATGCGTCATTTAATTGATAAACCTTCATTTGGTGTCCAATTTACGCTTCTCCTACGTACGTGACAATTGGTAAAGTCCATCAAGGATTAACTAGGATAGAAATTATGTACAAAATCGATTTACATTGAATGCAATATATTTTGCTATAGTTTCTCATCGGCTATGAGGGCGGACTTGCCTACTTGGTTAACCGTTAGCTCAAGTGGTGAGAGAGAGTGGAAAAATAAGGATTAAGGTAGTTCATGCATAATAATCCATATTTGTGGGAGGGCGGAAGCGAAATACATATACTAAACTCTTATGACAAAAAGTTTAGCATTATATTTGGAATATAACTTTTAAGGGTAATTTTCCTTACTGAATAAGTCTTATAGTTCAAGTGATCAAAAAGTAGGAAAATGATCTAATCTACCACTTAAGCAAGTCCTATTCATTTATATTCAATGCAATAATGCTAATTCATTCGCTTTAAACAGTAATAGGTGGATGCATTTTCTTAAAAAGTATTTATACATCCAGCACTGATGTCTTTTGTTAAATTTCAATGTATCCTATATCACTTGTATAATAAAATATAAAAACTTGATCATTAAAAATAGATTAGAGGCACAAGTTCGTGAGGGTCTGCATCGTTGCCATGATTTTATATTCTCCCTTTTGTCATCTCAGACCAAAAGAGAACTGGATCTCTCAGTGAAGTCAAAAGTAGAGCCTCCTAAGATCTTTTGCAGTAAGTGACAACAATATAAACAGTGATCATTGTACACTAAATATTCTTCTTGTTGCTTGATTCATACTTCATATAGACTTTGTACGGAGCTTTCTTTTTCTCTTACTCGTGCCGAATGCTTTTCCAACGGACTTACCATCACTGTCTGCCCAACATGAAAACATCCCTGAAGGTGAAAGTGAAGTAACAAACAATGTCAGTTAGAAAATATAGCATGCATGCAAATATATTGTTAATTCTAAGGGTGTTGGAAGGGTTTGGTGAAATGGGTTTGTAATTTGGATGCAGTTCAGATTATTATTCATAGGAACAAAGCCCAATTTTAATACAAGATACACACATGAAACTAGAAAGGGTAGTGCTATCTACAACACTCTTTTTTACTTCTCACACACCCCTTTCAATTTTCGGCCGTCGTATTGAATGAATTGAAGAATGGCAACGAATTAACAAGGGTGTGTGAGAGGTTAAAATGAGTGTGTGAATAACATTTTCCAACAAGAAAATGCCATGATAGTAAAACAATAGGAAATAATAAATTAATCCTACCGCGAAATAATAGTTAACTGTATAACGAGCATGATGATGCGTGGTGATTTTACGCAAGAGATTTGTAACTCAATAATGAATTAAGAGGATTACCAACCTTATGCACTTGAAATCCGAGTTTGATAAATTCTCCACAAAAAAATTACAATATTTAATTAGCCCACTAAATGTGGGTTAATGAAATCTAGGCATGCACCAAAACTTGCAACAGCTCGAAACTTGGCTCTGTGCATCCCAAAAGTAAAAGATTGTGCGAGCAGCTGAGAGGATTATGTAAGTACATCACTTTCAACTTGCTAATTAAAATTGTTGATTACGCCTAGTAACACTTTATGCGGCTGCAAGGAACCTTGATAGGGGATTTTTTGCATGGATGTTAGTTGGCTATTATGGTGCTAATTAGAACTTATAAACTAGGATTAACTACTAAGTAGCTAGGTAGGGTGGCCCGTGGAGATTTAATCAAGCTAATTACCAAAAAGTCGCTCAACTTTGGTAGTCACGTAGAACTACTAAATTTAATTAAAGAGAAATTAGGTTTCATTCCTATTGTTTCTACTCCATTAATTAAGACTTTATTCCTTTGCAATTTTTAATCAAAGTCCTTAAGTTTTAATAACATCATTAATTATTTCAATTATAAAATATTTACATGTCAAGATAATTAATTTTTTTTCTTTTCAATTAAATTGTATTTCTAAATATATTCATTTAGTATTGAAACGTTACATTTGGTATACTTATAGTTATGGCTAAACTTTGTATCATATATTTCTATTTTTAGTTTGTACCCATTTTTAATTTGCAACCATTTGTTTTTCAAATTGTACCAATTTTCTTTTCAATTTTAATTTGTACCTATATATTAATTTCTTTTTGTGCCCATATTTTTTAAATTTTTATTTGTACTCATAATTTTTTTAACCTTTTATTTGTACCCATAATTTATTTATAATGTATCCATTTTTATTAAAAATGTACCACTTTCTTACATACAAAATGTACCCATTTTTTTTGTTTTGTAAGTACCATTCAGTACAATCTTTTTTTTTTTTTTTTTTAAATCTAAAATGTACCCATTGTTTTTTTTATAGGGGTATTCGCTAATTTACCCCCTGAACTTGTAAGAAATAGTCAATTTCCCCCCTGAACTTTAATTTTAGCCAATTAACCCCCATAAACTTGTGTAAATCACCAATTTACCCCCTGCCATTATATTTTAGAATTTACCATCCAATTCACCATCCAATTCGATCACGTGCTTTGCACATGCTAATGGTGTGAGGACAAAATGGTAATCATACACCACAACCAAACCTAATCGTTGTTGGGTATATGGAGAAGCAGGGGAAGGCGAGCCATAAAGAATTGGGCATTCTAGGGTTACAGTCTGAGAAAAGATATGGAGAATAGACAGTGAAATTAACAAATTGCTACCAAATATTGAAGGTATTTTGAGTTTTGAAGTTGAGAACGATGAGTATCGTGGTCAGGGATGGTGGGCATCCTCCAAGATACAGTAAGTCTTCACTTTTTCTTTTTCAGTTTGTTTAATATGTGAAAGGTTTGCTTTGTGTGCTATTTTTCCAGTCGTGTGTGTATATGGGGTCCCTTGATTGTTTTATTCAGTTCTGCATCCCACACCCTCCCACCCTAATCCCAGCCCAGCCATACCCACACGCCATTCAACCTTTTAAATTTTTCAAGAAGGGGATGGGAGAGAGCATGGCCCTGATGTGGATCTAACTTGTGCTGTTGAGTCGAGGTATCCTCGTATTTAGCAAGAAACACCATTTGCCGAGTCTCTTAATTTACCTTCTCTAAGCTACATAATCTCGAATTTGTTTACTGTATTATGGTCTTTTGATTTGCTATACAGTATTTTATTTTTTTGTTTGTTTGTTAATGAACTCTTTTGATTCATGCTTGCTTCCATAGATTGTGCCCGAAATAAATAGGCTTGTTTGTATAACAGGCAAAGCCAATAATTAGTAAATTATTTTCTTTTGCTGGAAGCTTGCATATAGATTGTGGCCCAAAATATTTAGCAAGCTGTTTGCTACTTGTTTGGATAACAAACCAAGCAAATTATTCCCTCTTGCTTCAAGCTTCAGAGATGAGGGATCTAACAAACAAGCAACGTTGCAGGTCTTTGCTGGTATAATCTTTTTGGTGTAGCATTGTTGGCACTTCCTGTATACTATCAACTTTGCACATATATATGTTTAGTTGTTGCTTTTATTGACTTTCTTTAAATAATTAGCAAGTTAGGTTAGTAAATGTTGTATATTGGTGGATATTTGGTTAGTAAGTGTTGTTTAGTGATCCTGATTATATTGTGATGTATTTGTTGTAGGTAATCATGACCTATTCACACTTGAAATACACCATGGTGGTCACTTTAAAGCTGGTCAGTATGTGGGTGGTATTGTACAGTGGGTTGACAATTATACTAAAGATTATATGTCTATGCTTGATCTGTATGAGGCTGCTACAGTGCTTGGGTATAATAAAGAGACTGCAGGTTTTTACTATTGGCACCAAATAAAGGGTTTTTTACGAATTGAATGCGATGCAGATGTGTTTCAATGGGTTTCACTCATATCTCCTCAAGTTAGGCTGCATTTATTATACTTGATTGACTTAAGGAAAATCATAAACAATCTTGGGAGTGATCCGTGTGCAGCTTCCTTTGTTGATGTGGATGTTCAGTTTGAGGGGTTTAATGCGGATGATGAATGTGAGGGTTAGAAGAAGACTCAAAACACCTAACCTACCTCAATATATGAGAGAGACAGATAAAATTAATCCCACTCTTCATCTAGGGTTGGAATTTCCAAACATGAAACAATGCAGGGAGGCAATAAGGGCTTATGGTGTGTCTGTTTGTCGACCACTAGATTGGGCAGTGAATGATTCCAACAGATTGCTGATCAAGTGTGCAAGAAAAGTTGCAGTACCTTGTCAATGGAAATTGTATGCCTCTTTTGTGGGGAAGGGACCGACAGTTAGAATTTAAACTTATAATCCTAAACACATTTGTGTAAGGGGGGAGCATTCTAAATTTGCCACCTCATCATGGTTAGCTGATCGGTTTGATGAGGAGCTTAGATCAAAACCCAATATGAGTGTGACTGGTTTCATGGAACTTGTGAGAAAGCATTATGGTATTGACATAACAAAAAACCAAGTTTACAAAGCAAAGAGAATTGCAAAAAAAGTGACGGAAGGTAGTATAGATGAGCAATATGCCAAGCTTTGGGATTACCTGGAAGAGTTGAAAGTGAGAAATCCTGGGAGTACTATCAAAGTAAAAACAGATTTCTAAGGTGAAAACCCTATTTTTAAAAGGTTGTACATATGCTTTGCTGCATTGAAGAAAGGCTTTCAAGAAGGGTGTAGGTCTATAGTGGGTTTTGATGGGTGTCATATTAAAGGACCCCATCTTGGTCAGATCCTTAGTGTTGTTGGTGTTGATGCCAATAACAGCATGTTTCCAATAGCATTTGCTGTTGTGGAGGTAGAAAATAGGGAGACTTGGACTTGGTTTTTGGAGATCTTTTTCAAGGATGTGGGAATTGAGAATGGAAATGCTTAGACCTTCATCACTGACAAACAAAAAGGGCTAGGCGATGCTATACGGAGTCTGATGCCTACTGCAGAACACAAACATTGTGTTAGACATTTGCATAATAATTTTAGAAGTGCAGGTCACACCGGACTTGCCTTAAAACAGAGATTGTGGGCAGCAACAAGGGCAACTACTGTACCTACTTATGAAGCTGAAATTAAGGCGATGAATAATCAATCTGATAAGGCAGTGAAATGGCTAGCTGATAAGCCACCTTGCCATTGGAGCATATCTCATTTCAGAACATCGGTAAAGTGTGATTTGTTATTGAATAACATGTGTGAGTCATTTAATTATGCAATTTTAGATGCAAGAGATAAACCGATTATTACGATGTTACAAAGGATTCAAAAATATTTGATGTTGAGAATGGCTAGGCTAAGAGAAGCTAAGTGGACCCAACATGTTGGACGTAGAATTTTGAAGATTGTTGAAAAAAATCAAATGGATGGTTTCAATTGTTTTGCCAATTATTCGGGGAATGATCAATATCAAGTGCATACTTTGGTTGGTAGTATGTTTGTAGTAGATTTGGAAAGGCACACTTGTTCTTGTAGGAAGTGGCAACTATATGGCATTCCTTGTCCTCATGCTATATCCGCAATTGCTAGGAATGAGGCTAGTCCACAAGTGTTTGTTCACTCACTTTACAAAAGGCCAGCTTATGATAGGTGTTATGAAGGGTATATTGCTCCTATGCCTAGAAAAGAACAGTGGAAGAGAACTGGCCTTAGGCCTATTAAACCCCATTTTTACCACAAGCAACCTGGAAGACCTAAAGGCAAAAGAACAAAAGCACCAGATGAGATAAAGAAAGGGCCAACAATGCTAAGGAAATATGATGTTGTAATGCATTGCCAAACCTGTGGAGAGGAAGGACACAACAAAAGAAGTTGTCCACAAAGGCTATTACAATCACAACAAGGTTTTGTGCCCACAAAAGACGTAATTTGATCAACAAGGATTGTATTTATTTTGAGTTTTGTTATATCACTTATCTAGTCGCTAGGTGAACATAAATAACTGAGTATAAATGGTTTTGATGTAGGAAATTGGTGCACATCATCACTCGGGGGCCGCTCCATCTCAAACTAGGCCACAAGGAACTTCTAAACTACATGTAATAACAAGAATTTGTCTTTTTTTTATTAAAAAACAAAAGTATTTGTTATACATTAATTTTTGTTGTTTTGGGTTTGCTAACATTTTTGTTGCTTTCGTGTTGAGTTCAAATAGGTGTACCGAGGCGGTCGTGTGAATCAAGTCACAAGAAAGGCTAATGAAATGGCATCACAACCCCAACGTGTTGCCAAAAAACCAAGACCATGGAGAGTATAACTATAATGTGTTGGAAGGCATTTCGTCCTGTTAATGAAAACTTTTGGTGTTGAGATTAAGTTGGTCTTTTAATAGGATTATGCAGCAGATTTTTTGTGGATGCTGCTAAGTCTGTTGCATATTTTTTTATGGATGCTAGGTGCAAGGCTGTTAAGTCTGTTGCATATTTTTTGTGGATGCTAGGTGCAAGGCTGTTAAGGCTGTTAAGTCTGTTGCATATTTTTTGTGGATGCTGTTAGCTTTATTAAAGCACTCGAAGTAAGAATCGTTAATTTCATTTTGGTAAACTGGGCACTGAGCCAATATTTTTCAGTTGCTAATTAGACTTCTATAGCTAATTTAGACAAAATTGTACGGAGTGAACTAGTGGAAGAGAAGAAGAATAAAGATAGAATGTCTACATTAGGGATAAAATTACTTTTTTACCCTTAAAAATTTGGCATGTGCCAAGCATGTGACCGAGTTGGATGGAAAATTGGATGGAAAATTCTCAAATCTAACATCAGGGGGTAAATTGGCTAATTACAAAAGTTCATGGGGGTAATTGGCAAAAATTAAAGTTCAAGGGGGAAATTGGCATCTCCTTACAAGTTCAGGGGGGGGAACGACAAATACCTCTTTTTTATATATAAAATGTACCTCTTGTTTTTTTATATAAAATGTACCATTTAATTTATATAAAGCGTGCCCCTTTTTGTATAAAATGTACCAATTTTTTGTATGTGAAATGTATACACATCTTTATATAAATGCACCAATTTTTTTAATGTAAAATATACCAAAATTTTATTATATAAATGTACTCATATTATAAAAAATAAAAAATAAAAAATTCTAGAATGCACCCATAAGCTTTTTTTTTTTTTTTTTTTTTTTTTTTTTTTTTTTGTTGAAACCCATAAGCAAATTTCAATAATTGGTGATGTAAATGAAACCAAAAAACCGGTTGGAGTCTTTATTGACATTATTACATATCTTTTATTATTATGCTATTTATGTGGAGAGGGACTTTAGTCTAAAACCTAAATACATAAAGTTTGAGTCTACAACAACAATTAGGGACTAGGGACCGCAACTAAACTATCCTTTTAATCAATGATGGTGAACTTTAATTAACATCCGCATTAAGCTTTAGCCTTTAGCTAGTAATCAAGGAGACCTGAAAATGGTTGAAATTAAACAATCACAACAGTAACCATTTGTTGTGCGATTATTCTATTATGCTCCGGTGCATAGCTGCACTGAGCCATGGAATGCTAGATGCCCCGGGTAGTGGAATTACTGGATGTGCGGCCAAAAGTTCAATGAGCAAGAGTTGATCAGCCAAACATCCCGGTGTATAAGAAAACCCTGGTCTTCCAAAATCCGGGAGGGCCTGGAGCTACTATGGAATAATCACAAACAACAATGCATATTAAGATTTCCACCAGGCCAGGGAGCTCACTTTATAGATTTGGAACAACAATGGGCGCATAAAATGTTCATCCCCCTAATCCACTCGGGGACATTCTGCTAGACTCCAGCTCACTGTCGTCAAAACTTGCTTAACTACCGTTTACGCCAAATTGCCGGAAACTCAATTGCCTTCCATGTCAATTGCAGTTTCCTCTCTCAAACGTCAGCAGCATACAAAACAAGCTAGAAACAACTAAAGATTAAAGGAAAGAGGGATGAGAAGCAAGGTCCCCATAGAACATTCAGAGTTCGGGCAAACCTCGCAATTTAGGTTTAAGGCATTTAACTCTAATAACCTTATTCATCAGCGTAGAGTATGCTACACTGACAATTATAAACAGGGAGGGTCATGATCATCCTTTCTAGGCTATAACAAATTAACAATATAGATAAGAGAAGCTTGCTAATATTCGTTCTAAATCCTCAACCTAAGTCTTCATATGGTTGCAATCAGGGAAAGAAAATCACAATGACAGACAAGATATCGCAAAATTATCGCAGGTAGAAATCTTAGAAGTTAAAGAAACGAGCGAAAATGTAATCCATCACCCAATTGCAGTTGCATTTGGATTTTATACAGATGCATTCTTGGCCAAACAAAATCGGAAAAAATGGTTTTATCAAGTACCCTTATTCATGTCAAGCACATCATTTCATTACGTGTGGAGACTAGACAAACATCCATGCTAACATGAACAGCATCTCTTCAGTTCAAGGAGAGGAATAAAATAACACAGATATTTTTTCCAGAATCCCGTAAGCCTGCAAGAAGTCAAAACAAGCTAAGAGTCATTGATACAATATAAACACGAAAACAATAAGCAAGCATCGCCAAACATAAGTACATAACCTGAGAAACCAAAGGATATAAAATATGCAAACACAATGACAGGAACCAAGGAGAGGAACAGGGAAAAGCAAAACTAAAAATTAGGAAAGAGCATGAGGATAGCCTCTATCTCTATGTATCTTCAACGGCCCAATCAGTTATGGAAACAAATTAGCACATCCAGGATGCAGCCAGATAGCTAAAAGGAAATTGAGAACCATCGGTAGAAGAGATGGTATCGGTCAACTTATGGACGTCCATGAAACAAAAGCAATTCCTACAGTGGATTTCGATATCAAATCATTCAACGGAAGATACCAGCTGTGGAAAGCAGGTATTCCAGTAATAGCATGTTTGGATTCAGATAATTTTTAAAATTACTCTCATATGGGTGGTTCACTATAGATAGAAATGAAGAGATGAGAGTACAGAATACTTGATTTCTCTGCACATTTCAAGAGGAAATAAACTTTGTGGTTTAATTTTAGAATGTCTTCA